GGATCAGCCCCCCCGGGGGCGGCCCGCCGGAACAAGCTGCCCGGGCCGGTGCCCGCTGCGCCCGGTGCGTCTCCTCATAGCTCCCTCAAGCCCACTTCCCGCGTTCTGGGCCGCCCTCGGGTCTCGCCTTGTGGGCTTTGCTGAGGGACGGGTCCGCCCCCCCCGCATCGCCTCCCGGGGGATGTGGTAACGCCTTTCCCTCCTCTTCCTCGGCCCCGCACCGAGGCCTTCGGCGTCTCCCCCGGAGCCCTGTTCTGCCTGCCCTGCTCCCGCGGGGCCTGTTCAGTCCATCTCCACCCGTGCCCCGACCCACGGCAGCGCCCGCCCTGGGTTTAGGTAGCACCAAAAGCCGCCCTGGGTCTCCCCTTGGTACCCTCCCTGATGGTGGTGCGGGATGTTTTGTTGGGTTTTTTTTTTTTTTGTCTGTCGTTGTCCCTGACAACTCTGGGATCTCTTTCCTGAGTTGCACTTGCCCGCTCTGTGTTTGGCATCTCTCACTAGACGAAGAAACAGTATTTCCAAAAGTACATAATAACATGCATTAGTTAGAGATTGCAAGGTCAAAGAAAAGTGATTTCTGCTTGCAGTGGAAGCTGTCATGATTTATTAAGAGTGACTGGGGCTCCGCTGCTCATATTTTTCTTTTCAAGATTGTGCATTAATATTAGTTCCATTTTGTTTCTGGCATGGATGGGATGTGATGATTTTGGACAATGTCCTGGCAATTTCATTAGTGAGGAGTCCAAGTTCAGAGCTCCTGACTCCCACAGTTAAATGAACTGAGAAATTTTGAAGGTCAGGCTGTTAACCAAAATGCCAGTTTTGATAGGCCAACAGATGATGTTAATAAGAAAATTGTTATCTTTACCTGTGAGACTGGAGTCTAAGGATGAGGAAAGAAGTGGATTTCTAATTCTCATGTCATTTACAATTAAAATAATTCTAATCTCAGAGGTACTGATAAACTGGAGTGGGTCCTGCAGAGGGCCGTTAAGGTGGTCATGGGCTGCAGCTCCTGGTGTGTAAGGGAAGCCGGAGGAGCTGGTTGTGCTCAGTCTGCAGAAAAGAGGGTGCAGATGATCCAAGTGCCTAACGGGGACTTAGCGAGAAGGAGCCGATGCACAGAGATCAGGGGCAGCAAGCACAGACTGCAAGAGAAGGAATCCCAGTTGCCCAATTCTAGTCTCCTCAGTCCAAGAGAGACATTAAAAAAATGGAGAGGGTCTAGTGGAGGACCACCAACATGATTAGAGGGTTGGAGAACTTGACGTGGAAAAAATGCGAAGGATTTGGGTTTATTCAGCCTCAAGAAGGGAAGGCTCAGGAGGATCTAATCCCAGTCCTCCTAGAAGGTGGTTATAGAGAAGGGAGAGATACTTTCTTCTCAAGGATGCACAGTGACAGGGTAAGAGGCAATAGGCATAAACTTAAACTAAAATCTTCACTGTAAGAACAATTCAACTTTGGACCGGGTTGACTAGAGAAATGGTGGAAATCTCCCTCAGTGGAAATACTCAAGACTTGGCTCGATGGGGCCCTGGGTGGCGTACAATCTTAAGTCTCGGCTTTCAGTAGAAGGTTGGGCCAGATGGTCTCCACAGGTCCCTTCCAACGTGGACTTTTCTATAATCCTATGACAAGGAGAGTAGTTAAGCACCAGGACAGGGCCGAGAGAGGTTGTGAGATCTCTATCCTTGGAGATGTTCAGAATTTAAACAGTGCTATGAGCAATGTGACTGACCTGTGCTGTCAGAGCAAAAAAGCTGGACCAGGAGACCTTAGAGGTCCCTTCTGATGTGTGTCTTTCTATGACTGTATGAAGATGAGGTTCTCTGTACCTGCCTCTTACCCTCAAGGTTTTCAATCCTGATGATATTTTTTTGCTTCGACTTAAACTAGTGCAGTATTATGCAGTACTAATTATTTCTACTTTTTTAATCGCAAGCTGTTTAGTGATTATGTGCACATCTGCCAAAATTGGCATAGTTTGTATAAACTGTATTGAATATTAATTGCTTTTTGAGCTGACTTTCTTCATTGGAATTAGGGATGCTCTGAAGTATCTTACTGAAGCTTTTCAGTCCATCGGTGAAGTAGAACTCGACAATGTAATTGAAAATGTCATTGATGCCGTTGAAAAACAGCCTTGTAAGTAAACAATTTATTTTTATTAAGCTTGCTAGGTTTATCTTGTGCTTATAATGTTATTTAATCAAAGACAGAGTTACTGGCAGCATATGCACTAAGGTGTCATTCTAGTCTACTGGGTTGATCAAGATAAATGTATTTGTTGACATTTTGGTTTGTTAAATACTGAAGTTTGTAATGTTGGCAAAAGATAGTACGATTTGGCCATTTAAAAAGTTGGCAGCCTGGTACCTCCTGACTTTTCCAACAGTAGTGAAACTTTCCAGTGCCAGTTACTAAAAGCACCTCGCTGAGTTTGCATGGAAATCTTTGCATCTGAAGCGATCATTTAAAATATTAAAATAAAGCAAAGAAATAATGAGAAATGAATTCACTTGTTATTCAGTAGTTTAGGTCCCAAAAAGGGTTAGGATTGTTGACAGCTGTGGTCTGAGGCGCAGGAAGGAAACAGTTGGATTCCTTCATTCGGAGATCACTGCCCTCGCATCCGAGTGGGGCAGGAGATGCAACTGCACCTGTATAATGGTCCAGCATATTAACGTAAACCAGCTGTGGATGGAGTTTAACTGTCACCTCGGTGTTCTCTGAAGCAGCAAGGCAGATGCTGATGTTCTGTTAGGCCAACCTGATCTTATGATAGTCACATTGGGCAGAAGGTGCTGATAACAGTCGGGGAACTGTAGCACTGGAGAAGCTGTACCTGCTTGGAATATAAAAGTACATCAAATTCTATAAATTACAAAGTCCAAAAGTGCAATCCAGAAAACTCCTGGAAAATCCCATAAACACACGAGACACTCAAAGTGTTGAGCTTTTCCTGGTAAAGTTCTCACGACCCATTTGGTTCTGAGCATGCCTGGAACTCCATCATCTTGGCAAAATGTCTGGGGACTACCTCTTTTCTGAGGTATCTAGCGTCCCTGCTCCTAAGCGCCATGAAAGGTGGGGGGTAGTAGCTCAAAATATACCTGACACAGTCTGACAGCACAGAACAGGAGTTGTAGCACCTCTAGTTAAAGAACGTGACTGAGGGAGGTGGCAGCGATGCCTGGCATGCGTGTGTGTTTACTGATCAGAGCTCATGAGAACTAGGAAACTTGGGCTCACTTCCAGTTTTTGGCCAAGGAGATTAAAATCCATATAAATGTGATCTAAAATAAATACTAGGCCTTGGATGAGTTCAGGAAACCTTCCCAGCCTATCCTATTTAAACCGAATTAAATCAAGGGTGGGCACATGCTTGCTTTGTCGTTTTACTAGAGCACAGACTGCAGGAATTATTGCTTTATGCTCTTACTCTAGCCATGGGATAACAGATCATAGCCGATCAAACAGGGAGTAAAAGCAGTTCGAAGAACTGGTCCTGATCTAGCATAAGGCCTGCTGGTACAAATGAGCACATGCACGTTTTTGAACAAATTTCAGTCTGTACAAGAAGCTCTAGGGCCAGTGTAGTACATGCAGTCAGTGCACTCGCCAACGCCGGTCTTTGTCCAGGGTGGAATTTTGTGCTATAAATTCCTGTATTGTCCAGTTAAGGTCTGTGAGTTGTTTGAGGTTAGGGGTAGAAATGCAATTCAGATATGCTGGTCTCTCCTGTGATTCCTGCTAGCTCCCTTAGTGCCCCTTTTGCTCTGCTGTTCATCCCTGTCTTATAGGAATTGTGATTTTAAGTCCCATGCCTTGAATAGGGAACTCAAGGGCAGGTTTTCCTGGACTGGTTTCTGTTCCAGGAGCCCAGCAGTGAGCCTTGGCAGTGCTGACCAAGTCCTTTTGTGAATCTGCATTGATTGGTCTTCCCTTTAAATTCAGCAAAACATTAGCGTTTAGAAATATTTTTTAATTTCAATTATCAGTTTAGATCCACAAAGACAACAATGTGCCTATCTCCAAAACTGTGTTAAACTGTTTGAATACTTATTTATGACAGCAAGCTGTGTGATAATGTTCTGGAACAAAATTAACCTCCAGAATGTGGAAGCTCAGATCTAACACATTTGTAGTATATTTGGCAGCTTTGCATAAACTATAATTGTCTTGTTCTCCATGTTTAGTGAATTAATGGTGGGCACAGTATGTGTGTGGGTTATTTTTCTGCTAGAGATGTATCCTTTTGGTAAGAATATTCAGTGATCCATTTGTAAAGAGAAAACAGCGTGTGTCATTAGCTTACTGAAAATATGCTTATTTGTGCAATACATTCCTCTGAGAAGACCGAGCCATTTTTTTGTAAAATATTTGAGACCTGCTAACTTTCCTACTTACTATTTTCCATAGGCTGCAGTTTTAATCCTTCAAAATTTTCTTTTCAGTGTCATCTAATATGATTGAACAACCCACAGTGGAAGCAGCCGTCCAAGAATGTAGCCAGGCACCGGATGAAACTATGTACGGTGATGTTATTTTTTTATTTCAGTTTTATGGGAGTTGGTATGCATTCCCTTATTTCTTCTTGGGAAATAAATGTCAGGCATTTTCTGCAGTGCTGCACATGCAGTAATTGCTTTGTGCTTTTGTCTTCCTGGTACTGTCTTTGAAGGTTAGTAATGTTCCTTCTTAGAAAATTCGTTCTCATGGATAGGCCTCGAGGGGATTCTAAATATAAAGCTGACATTCTGGAATTAAAATACTATGGTTATGTGTTACATGTGACACAGGTTGAATATTAACCAATAAAGTAAACCAGTATTTACGATGCAGAGAGAACTTGTTCCTTCTGTTAATTTTTTTATTTCCTTTTCTCTAGTTCAAAATTTCCTAAGGTTATTTTTGTGCCTTTCATAAGATACTTCTTTTCTGAAAGCCCCCTAGAAAAGTTTTTCACTGTGATGCTTGTTTCTTCTGTATTGTATAGCAGGGCTGTTCTTGAAATCTGCGATTGATTTTCACTCTCTGATAACAAAGCGGAGAGCAATTACTTGAGTTTCTGAGAACTTTGTGATTGTGATGAATGTGTTTCCTTTAGTGTTTACATTGTGTGTTGACACCATAATGCAAAGCATGAAAATAAATGGTTTGCTCGGCATGTCAGTTAGATACTGTGATCCCACAGTTTCTCAATATGAAGCAAATTTGTTTTATGCTTTTCTCCTTGTCGTTGGGACCTTTATGCTGCAGACGGTTTGACTGTGACTTTTCTTTGTGTCGCTTTATACACTTAATGTATTTTTCGCTCTGGAAGCCATGAGAAATCTGTATGCACAGATCCTCAGTACAGAGTCCTGAAGGGAAAAGCTCTGCAGATCGCAGGGCCAGCCTGTACAACTCTTGGATGATGTTGCAGAAAGCTTGAAGGCAAAGTTTTGTAAGAAATGCACTCTGAAGCCTAAGACATCGGTGTCTGATAGGCAGTGATGGTGTCCTGTGCTTGTAAGCCTTAGTAAAGGTTCATGGGATAATTTTATCTACGGTGACGAATTTGATCCGCTTACAGTAAGAGGGAAATGAGAGGCATCGGAGGAGAGAGCTCAACCAGTAAATGTAATGGAATGTATCAACTCGATGAATAGTTTGAAGAGTTGTGCATGTCCATTGTTCAAACCTATTCACGTTAACCATGCCAAGGCTGTTCTGTTGTCAAAAAAGATGGCAGAGGATGGTAAGGGAAGGAGATGTATCCCTCTTGCATTCCTAAATGAACTTCTGAAGGGTTTCCTGTTTTGAATTAGAAGATGCAGTAGTATCCAGTGATGCGGGCAAAATGGTGATAATGCAGGGTGATAGTGAACAAAATTAATACAAATTTATTCAACATGTTTTATTACTGTTTGTTTCATCCACTTCAGATAATGTTGTAAATGTATTCTTATTTCAGAGAAAATGTTTTTAGCATTATTGGAGCCTTTGATATTCCACGTTATATTTATAATTCAGAAAGAAAGAAGTTTCTACCGTAAGTCTTGCATATTTTAAGTTTCAACCACTTCTTGTTTTAAGAAAAAAGCCTCTTATTTCTATATGGTTAAAAGTCTGTTTTCTAATCTTTCCCTCTTGGGTCTGCTCATTTCAAGCCTGAGTGAGAAAGTGAGACAATTTTGTTTCTTAGTCTCTAAGGACCTAGTCAGACTCTCTGATAAATGCTGGCTCATAAATAAATGTGCCTTTGTGTTTCTCCTAGACCGGTAGGATGAAACTGAAATGGGGACCTATATCTCCTGTCACAGTGTATTCTGTGCTGCCTGTGGTGTTACTGGCTCTGAAACCTCAGCATTTATCAGATAGTAAAATGTCCAACCATGTTTAGGCCATTTAATGAACAAAAGAGACAGTGAGGCTAAAGACATAAGGACATACATCACTAAAAGTAGTTTCGTTTTCTTTTTTTTTTACATACGGCTGTTTTATTTCATAAATTTGGTCTGTCTGCTGCATGTATTTGTTTCTTAGACTGTAGCTTGCAACTCCCTGAAGCCCTGGGGGATTTCTAAGGAGAGCTACAAAAGCTAAAAAAGAAAAATTAGGAGCAGCTGGTGATTCTGGAGGTTGGAGAAAGGAAGAAGTAATTGGAGGAGTTGGTTGTAAATATTTTGCTAGCTAAAGAATTTACCTTTAACAGCAAGCAGCCCGGATTGCTGAGCCAAAAAGAGGCCATGCTTTTAAAAAGCTTGAAGTGGTGTTAGCTCAGGAATGGATAGTGGTGCTCATTGCGAGGGGTTGCAGTGACCTTCACATAACGTACAATTCATATTCTAGCCTTGGTCCATGATTCTGCCAGTGCAGCAAAAGCAATCTGTGTGTTTGCAATAGGGCTTTAATTCCAGTGCCACTTTCTAGCTTTCCAGGCTAGTGGAAGCAGAGAACTCCATGCAGACAGTCTCCTAACCAGGAGGAAGAAAATCCTCTTGTTCATGGCCACTTAAAAGACATAACTGCTTTTTTAGAAACTGATTTCCGCAGAGTCCCATTCAGGGGGAAAGATAAATCTCAAGGCCTGTGAGTTAGAGGGAGATTAAATGGATGTAGCCTTCAAAATGCAGAAACGCAGCTTCCCTAGCAGAAATCTTCCTCATTGAGTAACTAAATTACGCAGTAGTGCTATAGCTTTTGCAGCCTCCTACACCTTTTAGATCAGTAAGTCATTTTTTTTGTGTGGAATGTACCTTTTTAATCTTGATTGTGTTAAACTTCTTACAGCCTGTCAATGACCAACTTTCCTGTACCAAATTTATTTGGAACTGCCAGGGATAAAGCAGAGTTGTTTCGTGAACGTTACTACATCTTACAACAGGTCAGAAAAAGTTTTGCTTTGTTTAACAAAATACACATTTTATTTTGTGTGTGTGTGTGTGTATATATATATATATATATATAAAAGATTTTATATTCTTACATGTACAACAGTGCTTTGTGCTGAGGTGCTTTTGTGAGCTACAGTTTAAACAAAATCTGAGTAAGACCAGGATCTGTACTAAGGTTTATCAGCCTTCTCAACTGTCACCATACAGCATGATGAATTCATGTGTTTCTGTATTTTAGCATCATGTTGTTAGAGGGGATTATGTATTTTTACATGTGCCTTGCTCTTTTTCCTCCCATAGTCTGGCTCTGTGCTATGTTTGAGTAGCATGTTGTTTATGTCAAGCTCGTAGAGGTAATGCAAACCCAAAGCCCCGGGAAGCTCTTAATTCAGGGTCTCCTTAAAGCACTGAAGTTTGCTTCTGGTTTAGTTCCTTTATTCGTTTTCCATTTTTCAAAATGCCCAGTGAGAGCCAGCCACCCCTTGTCATCTCTTGGTGGCACGTGCATCTTGTCTTCTCTTGTGAGCAACTTCAGAACAGGATTCCCCACCACGACTTGCTCTGCACCACCGTGACAGTCGCTGCAGGTACTGACAGCAGCTGTAGGTAGTGACTCTGGACCAGCCTGAGCACACAGCCAGAAAGAGTCAGTCCCTCAGCACTTGCTATCTGATTATCCCTCAGAACAGGATCACAACCCTGGTCTTTCCTTTCTTCCACTCACCCAGTAAGTTGGGATCCAGCCCCATGTCACCTGCCTGCTTACTCCGTGCTGTGCTCTGCCCTGCCTCTTGTGCAGCCCGGCGGGAGCAGGGCTGGGATGGGGAGCGAGTTGTTGATCAGATGACCTGGTAGTTGTTTTTCAGGTGTCTGCACTAACTGCAGTGGGCTGATCCACAGCACAGATCCTGCTCAGTGCAGGCAGGTACTGCGCAGACACAACTGCCTGTGCGCAACCCTGGCCCGAAGCGTGAGCAAACCGCCTGGACACAGGCAGATAGCAAGCACAGCTTTTTGTCTGTGCTGCCCTATAGGTGGCAGGCAGGGAGGCACCCAGCTGCCTTCGTGAACTGCTTGTCCTTTGGACCCTGTGGTAGTTGTATGCACGGGGTCGGATACCCCAGAGCAGCAACAACTCTCTGTCTACCTGGGGATTTGCTGCCACTAGGACTATGTGTCCGGCAATTTGGGAACCTCTGGAAACAGCACCCTGCAAGACCTGTTAACCATTAACTGAAGAAGCTTTAGTTCATACAAACAATGATTCAGATTAGTGAAACCTGCTGGAATTGGCACACTCACACAAAACAGCAGCAGGAGGTGTCCATCAGGTGTACCCTGAAGCCTCCTTTCCCTAGACTGTATTGTGCTATTGCATCTCTTTGCCTGATGGTTTCACGTCGACTCTGTTGTACCAGTTTTATGTTTGGTAGTCATATGTACTCCATTCCAACCTCCAGAAAAGTGAAGCTTCAGGTCACTATGTGTGTGAGGGCTGCTGATAGCACTTACTGCCTGTGTTACGTAGGCTGGTGGTGGTGGGTTTGTTCCAAGGGGAGGCTTTCAGACTGCATGAAAAACAGTGAAAGAAGTGAAAATTTCTACAATGTATTTTCTTCACGCTCTCTGCAGTTTATCTGTTGGTGTAACTTGCTCCTGTTATTAAAAAAAAAATAATAATCCTTACTTCCAATAGGCCCTGCCCTGAAGAGATAACCTGCTCTTTTCCACATAGTTAGCATTTAATACAGTTTGCCTTCCCTTGCTTTCTCACCCCTTCCTTCCAGGTAGTCAGAAATAACTATTTTTAAAAGCATTACAGATGCTTTGCTGTTACTTTTTGGGCTTAGTTTTATTGTCCAGTATTATTGATCATCTATTTCTTAGAAGCAAATTCCTGTCAAAAGAACTGATTATGCTCAACAAATTAAATGTTGGTGGATAAAACAGAGAACTTTGAAAAGTATTTTGTGTAGTGGTTGTAATGACCTGGCTTTTTGACAATGCTAATTTGTTTTTAAACTGGTTTACTTCAAACTTGGTTTCTGCAGAGGACTCACAGACATGAGTTGTTTACTCCTTCAGTGGTCGTTGCTCATCCTGATGACAGTGGGAGCAAATTCCAGGTAAAAAAATCTGTTTTTTTTCTTGCAAAGGGAACTGTACTTGTGTTACACTTAATGCCAGTGACGTTCTAGTTCTACATCCGATATGGGTAATCAGTGGAAATGAGTTATTTTCCATCATTTTTAGCCTGCGTGTCAAAAATGCAGTTGTTTGGCTCGGGTCAGCACGATGACCAAGCTACTAAAAAGCAGCTATGAAGTGCAAGGGAAACGTGGCTTCCTGAGGTGGAAGGGCATTAGCTGTTCAGCTTATTACACAGTGCTTCCCCCTGCTTGGGGATATTTTCCCTGCTTCTTTCTTTCATAAGCACTCAATTTACAAACCTACAATTGAATAAGGTCATAACTTTAGTTTGTTCTGTTCCCATCTTGGCTTTCTCATATTAAATGCTGTCCCTATATTATATAGTTCCTACATACTTTTTAAAAAAGATGAATGTGTGTGTGTGTCACTGAATACCAAATAACAGCTTTTGCTTTGCTCAACTTCCCTGCTCCTCCCTGTTTGGAGCGTGCTGTCATGTAGAAAAAAGCAGCTGACCTTAGCTGGGTCGAGCCTGCATCTCCATATAGGCTTTAGAGACATCTTCCTCCCTTGAGTGCTTCCTATCCTCCCTGGCAGCACTGGCATTGTGCTGGTGTTGTAGGAGGGTTGTCTCTCTTAACTGCAGCTTGACAGGACAAAATATGTTTATGCAGAAACTGCAGACAGCATGCTATGCGATGTCATCTGCATTACTCTGGAGTGTTCTCTGTCATCCACCTATGGTTCTTTGATGGAAGTAATTAGTGTTACGGTGCAGGCTGGCCCTGTGTTTCAGGTTGGATCCTGCTGAGGTTACTACAGTTGACATTCTTAGGCAAGTGCAGGAATTGCTGCTTGTTCTTTTCAGTTTTAATCCAGTTGTAAGAAAAATAATCACAATACATACTTAGTTGCTAAGCTGTTCTTTATGCTAGCAGCCATTATTGGAAATCTTTCCCTCAACTG